TTCTTTAACCATTGTATAGGTTAACAAAAAAAATCTCTAATTCAGTTAGGAGAGTTTTGCTATTTATTAGCTGTGTCATAGTCGACATATACATTCTTTTGGGGGGCTTCAGATTTCTTATCTGTAATAAGAAAATGAACAACATGACACTATCTTCTATTTGCCTTTCAGTCTGAATAAAGCACAATTTCATTGCATAATTTAGGGAATGACACCAAGTGATCCCCCTAGAGCAATCTGTCTTTAATATAACCAGAATGGAGAGGTAATGAATGTCAGTGTAATTATGTGGCAGCACAAAAGTCAAGTTTACAAAGTTGCCCATTTTAGCACACTAGTCACAATATGCCAGATAAGATTTTCAGTCTGCATCCTTGTCAGTTTAATTTGAGGAATCTATATATCCTAAAATAATGAAAGAGCATTTTTTATTATAATGAATTAAAATTGTATTTGATAAGTATATGCCTTGAGACAGCTCAGTATACCCCCAGGATGTTGTAAATTTCATTTTGGAGAAATCAATGTGACATACAGTTATTTTGAAGATTATTTCTTTGAAAGGATGTACAGTATACACTACTATATGTCATCTATTACAAGGTAAGTGTTTCTTAATGCCACCAGCAAAGACTGCCTCATTATCTCTGTGCACCCCAGGTTGTAAATAATTTTGAAAATTATACTGTATGTATTAATATTTTATTTTTCATAAAGCATTAAACAAAATACATAGAATTGCTGTGTAAAGTTTTTGACCAGCAGGTGATACCCAGCAAATCTTGAGTTAAGCTATAAGAAAATAATATGTAGTGTTTGAATTAACTCTATCTTAGATAGGGCTGGCCAAATAGCTCAGTGGATTAAAGTGCCTGCAAGCAGGCACAGGTGCAGGTGCAGGGGCCAGGGCTTCGATCCCCTGGCCTGCCATGCCAGCACTGCCCCTGGGGCATGCTGTGACAGCAATTGAAACTGGGCATGGTGGCGCATGCCTGTAATCCCAGCTCTTGGGAGGCTGTAAACAGGAGGATCACTACAAGTCCAATCTAGAATTGAGACTCTGAACACCCTGTAGACCCTTCCAAAAAAAAAAAAAAAAAAACACCTCTATCTTAGGTAGATGTTGAATTTCTCTTGTGATATCTTGAAAATTTCAGACAACAATTTAGGAAATTATTTCTGTTAGGTTATAAACAAATAATAACTGTCATCACCACTAATGTTTACTGCATAATTATTATAGGCCAAAAGTATATACATTGTAAGCACTGTATAAATTTAATCCCCTTTTGTCCTAAGCCACAGAGGCATTAAATTATTTACCTAGGGTCTCACAACTAGGAACTTATAGGATTTGAACTTGGGGCAGTTTTCAATAATGAGAATGAAGGATACTATTCTCAGTCCAGTAGCTAATAACAGTGCTTTAATAAATGATTCTTGAAGGAGACTGAACTCTCTTCAAGGAGAGACTCATGTTTACTAGTTGAGTGTGAAATTGTTGCAATAGAGGACTATAATTGAATTGTGGTGCAAAGAGTGCTAAAGATAGCTCTAGCTTGTGCATTTCAGTTGAGTGTTCTGCAAAGACTGGAAGCTGGGAAAACCATTAACTTACACAACAGAACAGTGAATTTTAGCTATCTAACATACCTGAATTCAAGTGTGGTAGGTGGAATAGGATGTATAACACCTTTTAAGATAGGAAACAAAGGTAAAGGAAGAAGGAAAACATCTTGAAGAGAGTTCAGTCTCCTTCAAGAATCATTTATTAAAGCACTGTTATTAGCTACTGGACTGTTTTCCTTCCACCATACAATTACCTAGAAGCAAAAAGAGGAAATGAAGAAAAAACTTCCATTTTAGTTAATAACCAAAGACCTAGAGTTTCAGGCTCTTTAAACCTCTGTGAATTAGGAATTTGTGGCAATTCTACAACACTGAATGTCCTAAAACTCAAGATACTGGGATTTCAGGGTTATGACTGGCAATTTTAAGACAATGAAATACTGAAGAGAGTGTGGGCCACAAACAAATGCCAAGGATCTGAAAGGTTGAGTTCACGAGGTGATAAACAGTAATCCTCTTGCATTTCAAGTCAATCACAATTTTAGCACCTGGGACAGGGCAAATAGATTTCAGGACTGGAGGGATGTGGGTGGTGAATAAAGGAAAAGCCACCTGAGTTGGCATTTTAGGTCTGTCTGTGGAGCTTTATATGGATTTGCTCCATTTTATTTATTTTATGTATTGAGAGTTTATTTGATAATAGTGTTGCAAGCTTAAAAGAAAAAGTCAACGTTTTTCCTATGAGAAAACTAGAATGTGGACCCTCTACAGTGTTCCAATAGATCACCTTTAACGTCTGTCCTTTGGGAAATAAAGACAGATGCTAGCAAGGATTATTTGGCTAGGATACTTTAAGGGACAAACCAACAGTTCATCCCCTACTGTGAAACTGTTAATGAAAGCAATAAGAGCAAAGGAGAAGCAGCAGAAGCACAAGCAGCAATTGTATTAATCATCAACCTGATCTGGGCCCTGGGCCAAATGTTCACATAGATTAGGCCATTTGATTCATTGCAGTCCTATGAGATTAGTGCTACTATTATCTTGTTTTACAGATATTGTCACTTGCATCTAAAGAAGCTGTGTACATGGCTTAAATATATAAGAATAAACCATAAAAAGGTGGTTAGAAATAATATTTTGCAATTAGGTTTAAGTAGTTGCTCAGGGCTTATTGCAGCTGAAATCCATCCAAATTGAGATTATCTATTCCCATTGAGCCCAGAACAGTTCTGCGGTTTGAAGGACAAATTGAGTATTGCCCTCTGAAGCCAGGAATGTCCAATAGTTTACTCCCAATATTTCACATTGATTTAAGTAGAAGAAATGCACCCTTCACAGAAAGGGAAGATGTTACTAAAATTGCACATTTGCTTGTGAATGTTTTTATCGGTGTGTTCATTCAGCATATATTTATTGGGTTTCAACTATGGAATACCCATCTCTGACAAAACTAAACCAAAAAGGAGGATACAAATGAAGGACCCTTTTGTATCTGTATATACAAAAGTTAGGGTAGACATACAACTACTTTCTCTTAATTCAATGAAAAGAATGATTTGTACTAATAGTATTTGGACAGGATATCATGTCTGCATCTTGTACTATGAATAAATACTAAGAACACAACAATATACAATGTATTAATTATTAGAACTGTCCTATTAATCAGTTTTGAAACTGTCTCATTGCTATTTGTTTCTCAATAAAATTAATTTAAAAAAGAAATTAAAAAAACAACTCTGTTCTCTAAACCCATAGTCTGAAAATACAAAGTAGAAACAATGGTCTCTTTGATATAAACCACCAGCTTAAATAATTTCTAGAATTACCAAATCCTGGTTTGAGTGGCACCTATTAAATGAATTTCAGTAGATGTTTTAAGCTGTTTGCAAGAGGTATTTTAAGCCCAAGCAGAACGCCAACAGCAGTATAGCTGTTTATTACCTTGAGCAGATTATTTACCCTCTTTGAAATTTAAGTTCCTCATCTATAACATGAGAATAATAGACCTGCTTTACATATAAATATGGCAATGATTCCAAAAATAAATTATACAAAGTTCTTATCACAGTGCCTGACACAACTTGCTCAATGCATGTTTACTGTTATCACTGTTAAGAACTGAAACTCAGTGAACAAGAATGACTAGCCCAAGGTCACGTAGCCTGTTGACAGTAGACCACATATTAGAATTTAGATCTTTGGTAATAATCAGTCTGTAAACTACACTGCATATTTCATTTTCTGGGAGAGAAATGAAATAGAATTCAAGTAATATAAACTTCTAAGGCTATGAGGTATGTTTTTATTCATTTAGGCAGAAAAATTACAAAGAAATACTTGACATAAGAAAATGCTTGGACTCAGAAAGCAAAATAGGGAGCAGACAGTAAAGAAACAATGACCAAAAGGTTTAGCTCACAGTGATGGACCATTATAATATCTAGGACTCACAGGGTTTATTTCTATCCTAGTTTCTTCATTTAGCAAAAATGAAAATGACTGGGTTGCTTTCCTTTTCTTTAGGGAGGTGATGGAAAGAGATCTAGAATTCAGGTGTAATTCACAAAAAAAGTACATTAATTCACTTTAGTATATAATTTCTATGTGCAAATCAAGAGAGTGCTGTAACTGAGGTTGGAAAGGAAGCATAAGTACTACCAAGAGTGAAGGAATGACAGATTTTTTAAAAGGATATTTGGCTAGAGTGCTGTTTTATAAAAGTTGTTGAAAAATTCAGCCAAAAGAAAAACAATAGTTCCATAGCAAGGCCAAATAATTGTTGCTTCGTATAGCCGTAGTACTGAACAGGACTGCGAGTGATTGATTTGTTAGAAGATAGTCTCAAAAACTAAAATATATGAAAAGAGCCTCTCTGTCCCAATGCAAAATGTTAATTTACAGTTGCTTAAGCAAAAACTGATGTACTTTTTCCCCTAAGTTATATTTCAGTTTGATCCAAGGCCTAGAATATTGATTGTTGCAGAATCCAAGAAATATTTGGAATATTGCAGTAGTTTCCTAAGAGGAACAAAGCCAGTTTGCTCAATTCATTATTGCATAGAGCATAGTCCAGGAACTGGTGCCAGAAAGTTTGACTGGAGTTTCTAGCCCATCACAAGGCACACAGTGATTGTTTCAGGTGTAGTTACTCTATATGGAGGTTCTGCACTGTGTATTTTTTTAAAAACGTATTAATGTTTAAAATATATGAAGATATTTAAAATATGTTAGTGTTAAAAATATGTTAGTATCTCATGTCAAGTGTTCTTACTACAAAAATGTTTAAAAAATTCTCCTGTTTTACTTTATCTTTTAATCTTGACTTGCTAATTTTCCTCTGTTGAAAATCATTACATATTATGCCAAATGATATATACTGGTAAGACTTTGATTACTTACTCATTTGATAATTTTCATTTTCACAGGGCATCAGGTACTGTTTATACAGCACTAGATATTGCCACAGGACAAGAGGTAAATACTGTCATTCAATCTTGATTACTACCCTTTTATTCATGTTTATCAGGTTTCCTCACTAATGACATCTGTGCCTGAAAAAAGTGGGTAGTCTGTTCATGGTTGATCAAAGAGAAAGGGCATAGGTTTGTGGTACAGAGAAAGAACTTAGTGAAGAGTTTGCATTCCTCTCCCATGTCCCCATGATACTGATATTTGTGTTAACTGTAACAACTACAATTCATTCTCATATTTTAATTATTGGATTCAGGTCGCTATAAAGCAGATGAACCTTCAACAGCAACCCAAAAAGGAATTAATTATTAATGAAATTCTGGTCATGAGGGAAAATAAGAACCCCAATATTGTTAATTATTTAGATAGGTAAGTGTTTTCTCTCATTGTGTACCTGTTTTCTTTTAGGATATCATTTTCTTGGCAAATTATTTTATTTCAGAATACTCATTTTAACAAGAGTTCTACAAATATATCTTCAGTAGTACAAAGTAGTACAATGTGAGCTCTATTGTTGAACGTGCCCCTACTTACCTTTGTCCACCCATCAAAACAGTTGAAAAAATATTCTAAGGACTCATTGCTAAATATAAACAATTGGTATAATTTATTTTTGAGAAGTGTGATTCCCTGTTGTCAAGAAATATCCCCTTGCATATAAGAGAAAGTGGTAGTGTACAAACATTACAGCAGATGTTTGAAGCCCATCTGATCTCTGAGACACTAGGGAAGAAGGCCAACTACACTGGCCCTGCTTTAATGGGACTTTGTGATTAACTGACGTGAGGTCTGGGGCTAAGACTTTAATCTTAAACCTTTTCCTAAACCAGGTATTTGCTGTCTCTTTCACCATTAGTATTAGCATATTATAAGCCATTAAAAAGCAGTGCTAGTACTTCACTTGTGACTAACATTTGTCTTACTCAGTTTTAGTGTTTGTTTTATACCATTATACTTTGTTCTTTTTGATACAAAAATAGAAACAAGGCCAGGCCTTCAACCTGCATGATCTTAAGACTTTGTCTGTGTTTTATGCCAGATAGACAGAAGAAAAATGGGGAGGAAAAAAGAATGGTCAAATTTTAGAGGGTTTTTTGTTGTTGTTGTTGTTCTTGGTTTTGTTTTTTTCAGAACCAGGGATTGAACTCAGGCCCTGGAGCTAGTCAGAGAAGCACCTAATTTTAGAATCTTGATCAGGGTTTCTTGTAAAGTGTCCCCTGAGCGCCCCCCCCCATAGCACAGTGGTGGAGTTTCTCTGCATCTATAATTTTGTTAAAATTGCATTTGCACTTGTAAAAAAATGCCAATTTCTAGGCTGTTTTTATAACTCATGAAATAGAGCCTATGGATTTTCATATTTAACAAGCTTCCAGATGAACTTTATGGGCACTCCAGGCTGTGTACCATGGTGCTAAAAGTCTTATTTCACAGTGACATGATTCAGGGTAGGGTGGAACCATTGGGGTTATCCAGTTCTCTACAATGCTTCTCTCTTGCTGAGTGAGAGGCCAAATGACCTGATCCATGCTGCTACCAGGTGATTTGAATAATTTCATGCTCTCTGCCTATATTGTATGGCTCTGGTGACTTTAGTCCCCTATTTTTGACCAGTGGGGGATAATCCCTAATAACTTCTCAAATAAGTGAACATGGTCCCAGTCACAACTGATTTCTATCAGAACTGAGACATAGGAAAGTTCAGAGGCTCCACTTTTCCTTCATGACAAGTCAAAGACTTTTTCTTCTCTTCCCATAGCTACTTAGTGGGTGATGAACTGTGGGTAGTCATGGAATACTTGGCTGGTGGCTCTTTGACGGATGTGGTCACAGAGACATGTATGGATGAAGGACAAATAGCAGCTGTCTGCAGAGAGGTGAGAAAGATGAGCATTTCTTGCTGACAAGGGCACCAGTGTAGGCAGTTTTTATTTCTGCTGATTCAGAATGTTCATAGTGATAAAGTAACAATAACACAATTGCTTTACTGAAGTAAAAATTTAGGTCCTAGAGCCAGCCAAATATCTCAGTGGATTAAAGCGCCAGCAAGCAGGTGCAGGGGCTGGGGGTTTGATCCCTGGGCCTGCCATACTGGCCCCACCCCTGAGGCATGCTGAGATGGCAATTGAGACTGGGTGCAGTGGCACGCTTCTGTAATCCCAGTTCTTTGGAGGCTGTTAACAGGTGGAACACTACGAGTATGATCTAGTAGTGAGACCCTGAACACCCTGAAGACCCTTCCCTAAAATACAAATAAGTAAATAAATAAAAATTTAGGTCCTAACCCAGTAGCACACTCTTGCACAGCCTTCATGAGGCCCTATTTGTTTTCATTGTCTTTCTATGGCTTTTTTGATCTTTATTAAATCAAGCTTATAGTCATGCAGGGAGAAATTCTACCCTGAGCCTATGGTTGCCATCTTCTACTATTATGGTACAAAACACTTCCAAACAAGTGCCTATGATTGCTTCATAGTCTAGGAGCCATTCTGAAAAACAGTTGCACATCAGAAATAGTGTGGGGTACTTGTTTCAAGTTCAATTTCTTGAGTTCACTCCAGACCTGCTAAATCAAATCATTCTATGTACAGAGAGGACTGGTAAGTATATCTTTATAAGACCAAAATGGATCTATGTCCTCAAGATAAGTATGCTGCTACATAATTAATTGACAGATTAACTTGGTTGTAGTAATGACTACTGGTGTTTATCACATCCTCATTCTTCATGGCCTAGTTTGTTATCCCTAGAGTCTAATGCTAGCCATCAAATGCATTATACGAAATAATTGTAAGTGGCAATGTGGTTTTAAAGTAATGTTAAAAAGTAATCTATTTCACTGACAACATACAATTGTAGCCACATCCAAAGTTTGTCTGGAACTGAAACTTAGATTTTTTTTAAACTGTGATGTAATTAGAATTGCTTTTCTGATTCAATAGTGCCTCCAAGCTCTGGATTTCTTACACTCAAACCAAGTGATCCATAGAGACATAAAGAGCGACAATATTCTCCTCGGGATGGATGGCTCTGTTAAATTGAGTAGGTATTTTGATCTGGATTGTGTTTGAGAAAGTATTAGAGAATTTATGTTCTTTAACTGTTTATCTTAAGATAGTGGCTATAGAAAGTGAAAGTAGTTAAGAGCCCAATAGGCATTAACAAATGTGTTTAATATTATGTTCTTGTAGGCTGTGACTAGATTTTTTGGATTTAGTATTCCAGTACATTTAGTAACCTCTAGAGTGAATGGCTGAAAAATCCCTAATTGGAAAGCTGAAAGAACCTTTAGGTTTCATTAAATAGCAAGAGGGATAGAGAACTACAATGAAATCTAGTAAAGATGACATATCATTCATCAGTTATCTCAGACTCCTTTAAAATCAAGACCAACAGAGAGATCAAAAAAACTAAAGGATGTGATTTAATAAGCAGTTTTATAAGCTCAGTATCTAACCAAGGAAGGTTCAGCTATATTTAAAAGCAATCTGTTGTCGAATGAAAATAATCTGTGCTTCTTTTAACTGATTTTTTCTTCCATACAGCTGATTTTGGGTTCTGTGCCCAGATCACTCCAGAGCAAAGTAAACGAAGCACTATGGTGGGCACCCCCTATTGGATGGCACCTGAGGTGGTGACTCGAAAAGCTTATGGTCCAAAAGTTGATATCTGGTCTCTGGGAATCATGGCAATTGAAATGGTGGAAGGTGAACCCCCTTACCTTAATGAAAATCCACTCAGGGTAAGTCTGAAGAGAATTCATGTACTTCATTCCCAGAAAATGAAAAGCCCAAGTATCTTGCTTCCAGTAAAAGTGACGAGAATGGGCTCTTCCCTTGGGATAATAACACCAAGCCCTAAAGAAGCATCAAGTTATTATTTAATTTATAAATTAACTTTACTGGTACATTTTAAGTATACGTAGTGATCACTTTTATCATTTTTACCTGTGCATGATATAACTTGATTTTTTTTCCATTCTCCTGTGTGCCCTTTAACAGCTTTCCCTCATTTACAAAAGCTTTGTTTCCATTTGTTCTCTGTTTTATTTTTTTTTCTTTTCCATTCACTTCTCCCTTCCCTTTTGAACATTTGTGAGATTTTAGATTTTCTTACAGTATCTTAACTATTTTCTAACGTGCTTTGATAATACTTCTCAAGGGTATTTTTTAAAATTTTAAAAATTAAAAGGTATTTACTATTCTTCAGTATAGTGTTCACTGCATAACAGTGGAGAAGTGGAAGGAAGTAAAGATGTAGAAGGAAGAGGGTATTTTTATCACATAACAGGGATAAATGATCTATTTAGGCAACACTTACTTTGTAATTACTTTAACAAAGTAAATAAATACATTTCCAGAACAGCAGTAATTTCTTAAATTGGATTTTATTTCATTACTAGTAATGATTTATTGAGCAACAACAGCATGGTTGAATGAAACACAGAGGTAGACATATCAGCCTGGTGAAATTGCAAATTTAATTAGAAGACTGTCAAGTAGAAAATGAATGGAAATAGTTTGGGTTGGATAACTCAGTTTGCTATTGCCATACCAGAGGTTTCATCCCCATGTGGTCCAGTTACCCTGCACAGGGAAAAAGCTCCACTTCCCTACCCAACTCACCATCTTTAGTCAGAGATGTTCCATCGATGGTGGAAGGAAAAGATAATGGGATATTAAACCAATGGTTGCTGAAGGCAGAAATGTGCCAAAAGCCATTTTCTTCTATATAGCCTAATGGTGACCCAAAAGCTGAGTTTTGTGTATATAGAAGGCATAACACCAAAAAGTGAAATATTCACGGATTCAAATTTTGCTGTCAAAACTTATGCATAGTGTCAAGGGCTTCCTGTACATCATCTGTAGCCTTAACACCAAGAGTCTGCAACTGAATTTTGTCTTTGTTGTACAAAAACTCTTATCCTTAGTAAACAGTTAAGTATGTTCCCATTAAGTTTATCAAATCCATATTCAAGCCAAATATGTAGGTGTGGGTTTTTATATATTCAAGCAACCCTAAAAGCTAATTGTCTAGTTTTTTGTGCAGTTGAACATTTTGTAATTGAAGCTGCATTTCCCATGTGGGAAATGGGGGGGGGGACAGCCTCATTCTGGTCCTGTTCTAATTCCTCTGTGATACTTGGACTGTTGTTTTAATCCCTGCACTGGTTAGAAAACAGTAGATATGAGCTATGGGCTATTGCTTCAGTCTCATGAAAAGATCTGCAAGTGAGTTGCACACATTGATTAGCTGTCTGCAGGGCTGAAGGGGAAAAGGGGGCATTTTTCTACCATTTGTGGCTCAGCCCTTCATGAATTTAATCAAGCCCACCCCTGACCTATAGACCAGTGCATCAGGATAATTACATGGGCTTCTCCTTATTATTTAACTACCTTTGCTCATTAAGAAATAGCAGCGAAAAAACACATCAGGCCTGTTGTTTCCATGGATTTCCTCCTCTAAATCTTCTGAGATTGGAGGCACTAAATGGATTATAGTTATTTTGCTTCCGGCCTTCTAATGTGTAATTTACAACCTACAGAATTTAAGGATTAGATAAATGGCTCTGAAAAGCAATGTGTCTCAGTAATGCATTTATTACCTTCTTCAGTCCCCCAATTATAATTAATTGCTCTTTAGTTAGGCAGCTAATTGTTAGAAAAGAATTAAACAAGTTTTAATCTTATAGGAATCTTCCACCCTGAGATTGGAATTCATAATTAACAGCTTGTTTCTTAGAATTCCCAACCTTATATCTAAACAAGTACTTGCAGATTAACAAACCACAAGGTTCAGGAAGCTTACATTAAAGCACTGGCCAAAAGACCTGTCAGAAAGACCACCCTGCTGAGTTCCTATGATAAGGACTTACTCTAACTCTACTAATTACTCTCCTTGTGTGATCAGTCTCCAGTTAATTAATCAACAAGTCCATGTTGTGCTGGCTCTATTCTAAATCTATCTCTCCTGGACACCAGGGGACTTTTTATGCTTGACTTCAAATATGCTGTCCTCATGTTCTTTTAAATAAACATGTCTTAAGATAGATGCCTTTATTTGGAGTTTGGAAAATGTGGTCATTGAAAACATTGGGAAACTAGAAAGAAAAAGATAAAGCATGAGGGTGTAGGGAGCCAACGTTTTCTTGGATTCTGCAGACCAGTCCATGTGTGGTGGGGAAACAAAAAATCATCAAGAATTTTACAAATTTTAATGAATGCTACATTAATCCTCTTGTCTTTCAAATCTTTCCACTGCTATAACTGCCCTCCACTGTTGTGCTTTGAGGTAGAAAACAGTGAAAGGAAAGAAGTGAAGTAAAGGAAGGAAAACAGACTGGTAGAGTGGAAGTTGGCGAACAAATGAAAAAAGAATGGTTCAGTAACACAATCTGAGTGTATCTTGGTTCTATAACTTATAAGATATTACTTCTGCCCATATTTTTAATGTCATTTGTATTGACTCCTTCTTTCTCATTGATGCCTATTAGTCTCACATTGTTCATCTTTGCATCATCTTGCAGGTGATGGATTATTTTTTCCTGCATCCTAGTTGTTTTGAAGAGATCCTTTCTTACCTTTTCACTAGCTGCACCAGTGTCTTCAAGATCTGAAACTCTGTCTTCACTTTCACTGAAACGGTTTTGCAAGCTTGTGATTGAGATTTTTAAGTTCCTCTATATCTCTTTGACTCTGCTTCATGCTTTCTATTTCTTTCCTGCATTGCTCATCCAAGGGATTCGTCATTTTTCTAATCTCTTCTATTTTTTTATCAATGTCTTCTTTAGAAGCAGTTATTAATTCTTTTACTGCAGTGTTTTCTTCAGGTTGGGATTCCTCCCTATGTTTCTGTAGTTGATTCTTTACTTCAGATGCTATGAGTTCAGAGAATTCTTTTTTTATTTCAGAAATGAATTATGCTGAGTTCCTCTATAACTTTCTGCTGTTGCTTATTTACTATTGACGCTATTAATTCATACATTTGAGGTGAGCTAGTGTCTTCTGCACTTGTTCTGGGTGGGCATTGGGTTTCCTCCATATGTTTCTGCATTTGATTCTTTACTGCAGATGTTATTAATTCAGGGATTTCTTTTTTCATTTCCAATCTGAGTTCCTCTATACCTTTCTGTAGCTGTTTCTTTTTTTCAGAAGCTGTTGATTCATTGATTTCAGCTGTGTGGTTCCCAATTTGTTCTGTATTATTGTCCCTTGCACTTGTAACTTATAAGGTCTGAGACCTCTAAGTCATCTGAAGCCTGTAAGCCTGCTTCTTTTCTGTAAAACAGAGATAATTTCTGTCTTGTTAACTTGGTGTAAAAACTAAATTAATAAGGCATATAAAATCATCTAGCACCGTATCTTGCTCATTGTAGAAAAAATATGGAAATTCATATCTGACCAGAAGAGTAAGAAAAAAAGGATGTTTAGTGTGCTGTTTAACCACTCACAAAAGGATATTTGAGTCACCACTCTTCCAAGAATTTTCATTTCACATTGCCTGTACTCCAAGGCCCTCAAAGAGTGGAAGGTTCTGTACAAGTTCAGCATAATAACCATAAGCAGGTTACACTGAACAGGATAGGTTCAAGGTAAAGACTCATGCTATCCATTTCAAAGCTGCTTGTATTTCATTCTTTTTTGTGCTTTATTGTATGTGTTTTAACTGAGCAAATCTTTTGTGAATATTGCTCCTTAACATATATTTGATGCAAGGAGGCTATGCTTCCCTCTAGTTATAAAGTGGTTGAGACATTTAAAATGTAAATTATTCTATACTAATTGACCTAATTTGCTCATAAAATGCCTTTTAAAAGTCAGAGAGTTATTAACTGTACTGATGTTATGAGGTTGGTACCCTTCCAAAGACAAACAGGAGACAAGCTACTTACTGTCCCCCATTGCCTGAAGTCTCAACATAATTGGCCTTGAACATGTTGTTCTGGAACCCATGGACATTTTTAATGCAGCCTCCAATAATAAAGTCCCTTGTTCCTTGGGTTTGCCAAAGTGACTGGGGTTAAAAATTGAACTTTCCTTTTGGAGATCAAATAAGATATTCTATTCTGCTGGTCCCAACTTCTTTGTTAATTGAAAATATTTTTGAAGACCTGTGGCCATAATGATCTAAATGGAGGCACAAGCATTTCTATACAATTTCTATTTGTTTTCTTTCTTAGCATCAAGAGAGTACCTGCTTATTAACTTTGTATTTGCAAATAATGATGTTCTTGTAAATGGGTTTTGCTAGAATTTGGTATTCCTGAAAAGTGTATGGTGTCCACTTGAAGACTATACTAAATCTTATGGGACCTTTTTTGTATGTGCTTTTCCAAACTTTTATCCAAGGTGAAATGAACTTTTAAGTAATCTTTTTCTATGCTTGCTTTAAGCATCTGTGAGACTGCATCAATTAGATCACTGGAAGACATTTATTGGTATCAATGCTGAAAACATTGTGTATGTGAACCATGGATCCTTTATCAATGGTTTACTTCCCTGGCTACATGCTGCAATCACTCTTAGTCTGTAAGTACTAATAACACCAGATTCCCCTTTTCACAGAAAAATCGTAACCAGGACTAGACCAAAGAGAAAGCCATGCAGCCTGACTTCTAAAAGACACTATCTACATCAAGAACAACTCTTCAACAGCCCTCCTTGAGCACAGTTATTTAACTAGTAAAGAACACATTATCATTTTGCTCATGTTCCTCCATTTCGTATAAAATATTATGAGTGA